ACGGCGACCCTTGCGATCGGGTTTGCCGAGAAGGCGGCAGGAGCGAAGCAAACGGCAACAGTGCTGATGGAGTCTTTTCCAAAGCCGCCACCCAAAGCAAAATCCAAGGGGGCTGTGGATTTGAGCGAGTCAGACGACGTATCGGCCCCTCGGTCAAAAGCAAGACCCTCTGGGGCCCCGCGCGCCTCCCCCCGCGCAGTTCCTTCCGTTGGGCCCGCGCCGCCTCCCAAGGCCGCAGCGGCGGCCTCCAGGGAACCAAAGGTGCAGCTTGTGCCGGGGGCGAAATGTGAGCCCTCCCAGCAGACGCAGGTTCCGAAGGTGCACTTGCTGCCGCGGCTGCCTGGCCACCCGCCGCGGCATCTCCAGGACGAGCCACCAAAGAAAAAGGCACGCATGGAACCGCAGGCAAAACAAGGGCCGCGGCAGCCTGACGAACCCCCGAACTACGAAGCCCTACTGCACACGACGCCGAAGCCGAGCAGCTGCGCACCACCCGCGCCGAAACGGGAGGCAAACAGCGCTCTCGCATCGACGCGAGCGCATCCTCCGCGGAAGGCGGATGTGGCCACGCGTTTGACGGACCAGAGAAGTAGAGCTTGGATCCAAGTGGAGGGCGGCAGGGGCAATTTCGGCGACTTCGTGGAGCGCGGCGCTCCGCTGCTGCGCGCGCGCCCTGACTGGCGAGCACCGGGTCGGAGTCCGCATCGGCGGGCCCCTGCGGATCCATCGTTTACCCTTCTCGCGGCCGTAGTGACGGCCGCGGCCGCAGTGGAAGATCTCGAGAAACTGCTCGAGAGCCCAGCGAATAATCTCGTGCTCATCTGGGGCCCGCTGCTCCTCGACCACCCGCAGAAGAGCGACGCGGAAGCGGTGGAAGTGTTGCGTAGGCACGCAGAACTGAAAGCACAAATGGAGGACGCAGTGGCGGGCGTGGTAGCGACCTAGACAAGACGAGCTGACGACAACTACTGGGAACTAGTTGACCTCAAAGAGAGGGCAGGAATCGTGCTCTACCAACCCCGCGTCGTCGAGACGTTAAAAATGATGCAGCAGGAAGGCGCATGCGCCACAGACGACACGCACGTCGCGACGATCTTCGACGTCGCCCTGCGCGAGTCCAGCCAGAACCCTGGCGCGCATTTCAGAATGGCCGTGCCCGCCCGCTACAGGTTCGCCCGCGGCCGTAGCGACGGCCCCCGCCACGGCCTTCATTCCGCGTGGTCCGAGAACTTCTGCGCGGACATCATCGAGGACCTGCTGCGCTGCAGCGCGCGCATCTTCACTGGGTTCTTCGACTGCGACGAACGCACCTTGCATCGCATAGGCTGCAATTGCGGCCTCACCGCGGGGTGACAAGCCCTTCCACACCGTCTTCCGCAAAAATTGGGGGCCTGGCGCGTTTGACTATACCATCCACCACGACTTTGCACTCGCGCTCGGCACGCGCGACCCGCAGCACCCCGTCTACGGAGAGGAAGAAGGGCAGGTGGCGGCGCTGGTGCCAGAGTGCCTCCAGCCTGTCGCCTCGGGGGCCCCGATCGAGTTCGGAAGCAACTGGCTCAAGCGTTTCAGTTGCAGCTCCCTGCCGCAGTGGGGCGACGTGCCGATGGCGAATACGCAGTGGCGTACTGTTTACACCGAGGCGCTCGAACAGCTCGAAGAGGGCGCGCAACCAGAGGATCCAACCGAGGCACACCGCATCGCAAGGTTGACGGAGACAAGGCAGAACTTCTTCCAGAACGCGCACTACGGCTTGCGCCCGCTTCCGAACCTGGGGAAGGCGGCCTCCAAGCGGCTCACGGACGACACCTTCGTCTCGCACTGGCTCCACGGCATTCACCAGAACATGATCTTCATAAGTCACGGCCGCCAGGGACGTGGATCGAGGCAGACTGCGAGCGAGCAGCGGCGCAACTGGAGGAGGGCGCATCAGAAGAATAAGAGCAGCAGTGGCGGCTGGCGCCAAGGGGCGGGCCCGCGCCAGAGCGCTTAGAGTGGCGCGACTCGGCTGGGAAAAGAAGCATCTCCTGTCGTCGCCGTTGTCACTGTCACCACTGCCCGAAAGGTATCTTGTAGACAAATTAATGGTGGTATATGATCACATGCTTCGGTAGTTACACAGTCGACGATCATATGTTCATGTTTTACCGACATTACATAATTATGTGTAGTCATATATGTGTATATATATATATGTATACATTCATACATGTATATACGAGGTCACATACACATGAGCATACCTGTCATAATTATTGCCATCGTGCACACACATACTTACCAATATAATGAATACGTCGTTTCATGTGAAATTATGTGCACGCAGCCGCTGCCAGTTCAGCGGCGCTACCGCGCCACCGCGCGCCCGTGCTCAGCGGTCTGCAGCGGCGGACCGCAGCCGAAGCTGCCTGCCGGCAAAGACACATGGGCAGCCTGCCCGACGACAGCATGTGCATCTACTGCGGCCGCGAGCATGATGTCCCATTTCACATTCCCGACGCGACGCTGGAATGTGGAATGGGCCCCATTTGCGATACATGCTGCCGCGAGGCCTCGATCTACGGCATAGAACACATCGACCGCAAACGCCTGGCTCGTTTCCTGGCGGCCGCGCGCGTCGCGGGCCGTACAGGAGATGTCTACGACATCTCCCATGTGGACGGGGCCGAGTTGGGCGAGCTGCTCGCGAGGTGGTTGGTCGCCACCACAGCTACATTCCAAAATGTCCGCAGTGGCGGGCGCCAAGTTCCGCTTCGCCCCGCCACCGAGGGCGAAATGCGCTTAGTCCCGTCACCGAGGACGAAGCCGCAGTGGCGGCTCCAGAGTTTGACGACGCACGAGACTGGGGGGACTCCTACGTGGCAAGCGTAATCGAGGCCGCGGAATCGGAGCGGGAAGCCGCATCGCTGGGGCACGGGTTCGTCGATGATGGGCGCTGGGCGCAGCGGTGGGAGAGCGCGCGCGACCGTGAGGCTTCCCATGCCAACCGAGATGGGCGAACGCCTTACTGGTCGCACGACGGCTTGCCGCCTGAGTCGTACGCGCGCGCCTTGCGCGAGATGCGCTCGCCTATCGGTCGCGCGGAGATGCTCCGCGCGACAGGCGTGCTGGTGCATGCAAGGCAGCGCGCGCCCGATGCCGAGCAGCGACTGCAAGAAGCTCAGATTGCGTGGCACAATGCGGTGCACATCGGGTTCATGCACAGTGCCTGCGTGAGGGCGCCAGCGGCGCAGGGTCGCATGGCCGCAGCGCAGCGGCGCGCCTGGCCGTAGTGGACGGCGCCATGACTGCCGCAGGGGTTGGGGGATGGAAAACGTATGAGCTTGATACGTATGAGGCCGCAAGGAGCATTTTAGCCACCATGACGAACGATCCTCAGAATCCAGCCCCCCGTTACTACGAAAGACAGCTGAGCTCATGGTCGAGGTGCCACCGGGCGCTCCAAGACGGCGAGGACGTGGACGTCGACTCGCAGGCATTCCAAGACCACGCGACGACGACGTGGACTTCCCCGCCAGCGACTGGTCGGCGGAGCAGCGAGAGGAGGAGTATTCCAGGAGATGTCTGCGCGCCTATAACCAGGACGCCTATGAGATAGAACCACCGCCAGGGATCCCTGGAGGACGCCGACCAGGGAGCAACAAGCCGCAGTGGCGGCCGCACTGGCACCGACTCGGCTGAGGGAGACCGACGGCGCGAGCTATCGTCGGAGCAAGAAGGGATGGCCATCGCCATCGCCATCGCCATCTGTCACCGTCGTCCTCACCAAAATCCCCACCAACTCATGACCACCTTCACCAATATATCATCATCACCACATCCAGCACCATCAACATTACCATCGCCATCACCTCCGCCACCACCATCATTACCAGCATCATTACTTAGCATTCTCCTCACCGCCACCACCAGCAACGACAATCAACAGTATAACCATCATAAGTATATTATTGCCACGACTTATCATCATAATCAAGCACCATCACCATCCTCATAATTACTCAAACATCATCATCACGATCACCATCACCACCGCCTGCATCAACACCGCCATCACCATACCACCGCTACCGCCACCATCACCATCACCATCCCAAGCCTGCTCTTGAGGCCCCAACATTTTGCCGCGGGGCCGCTGACGGCCCCGCGGCGGCCATGCAGCCGACGCCGCCCCGCCGCCCGATGGGTAAGGAAAGTATACAGTATGAGCACGCGCGCGCGGGGGCGGGCGCGGGCCTTTTTCCTCTCCGGACCACGAATAGCTGCAGAGAGCCAAGCACGTGTCTGCGTATGTGGCTAGATGTGCATATTCCTTCTCCTTCTCTTCTTAGTATTAGTATGATCAGTGCTGTTGGTATTAGCAATAGCAACCTCATTGCCAGTACCACTACGATTTTTATAATGAGTATTCGTATTCGTGGTATCAATACCATTCGTTTTCGTATGTTCGTATTATGTTTAGAGTGCTAGTATGAGCGTTCGTACTAGCATTCTTAGTCTCATTATATCATTACTACGAGCAATCGAATTAGTAGTAGTAGTCGCACTTTTGTTTTTTTGCTTTTTCCCAAACTACGCTTGTTACTAGTAAACTGTTGGTTCACCGTTTTCTTATGACAAGTCAGTACTATGTTTCTTATGTAAGGTATTCACTATATATTATGAGATTCGACGCTACTATTACCATTGTGAATGTTCGAACTGTTATTAAATTCTTAATGCTTTGAATCTACGGTTCTACGGCTCTACGTGTCTTGGTGTTCCTCCTCCTCCTCCTCCTCCCCCCCCTCATCCTCTCTCTTCCTCCTTCTCCTCCTCGCCCTTATCCCCCCCCCCCCCCCCCCCCCCCCCCCCCCCCCCCCCCCCCCCCCCCCCCCACCCCCCCCCCCCCCTCCCGGCCTGCGCCGCAGCCGCCTGGGCTCGCAGACGCAGCGTTTTACTGCGCGCCCGGAGGGCCCGAGCGCGCCAGCCGCGCCTGGTGCGGGGCCGGCGCGCCAGCCATGAGTGATGAAACAAAAGGCGGCGGGGCAGCTGAGGTCGCGGCCGCAGTGGCGGCCGAAATGCAAGAGATGGATCTGAGCAACGAGCTCAGGGCCCGCTGCAACACTGGCGCGAAGCAAAGGATTCCAGTGCGATTGCTGGGGCCACACCCCGCTAACAGGGCTGGCGCGTTCCCAAACTGTAGCAGAGTGCGTTCGCTGGCGCGCGAGATCATCTGCATCGGGTTCCACCAGGCGGAAGCCGACTTCGAGGGGGTGCGCGTCGGGGATCTCCCCGTGGAGAAGCACAAGGGCATGGCGGGGTACACCTCGTTCACGCAGCACTGCAAGGACACGGCCAAAGGGTGCCTTAAGGAAATATATTGCCGCAGCGGCGGCGAAGTTCTCTGCGGCACGCTTTCGCACTCGCATTTGGCAATCATTATGCGGGCCATCGGCGCGGGGGCAAAGTGGGAGATCCCTACAGACGACCTGGCCCCTGCGCAGGTGGCAACGCTGCAGCTCATGTGCGAGGTCGGCGCAGGGTTGCTGATGATGTCCGCAGTGGCGGACGATGACCCTGTGGCGCAGAAGCTCGCGAAGGAAGGGGTGCTCTACGAGGTGCGGGGCCCCGATGTCATGCTTGGCGAACAGAACTGCTCCATCATAGCCCAGGCCATGAATCGGCCACAGGCGTTCTCCATGCGGACGTCGGAGCTGGAGGCGATGAAAATACTCTCCTCAGAGATCAAGAACGCAAACGCGGACGGCAGCGACACAATCACCTACGAGAGCGCGATGCAGGCGGCATGTGCCCGACTGGGGAGCTCCCCCTTCCGACCCCTCCTCTGCGACTTCTGCGACTTCATCCTGAACCTGGGCGCCGATGAAGGCCCTCACGTGCGGGAACTCATCGACTTCGTCGAGACGTACGTCAATTCTGCTACGAGAATGTTGCGCCTGCCTGCGTTCGGCCTCGCGGGGGAGGTGAGCGCGCAGTTCCCCCGCGCGAAGGTGGCCATCATCATGCGGGCCTACAGGTTGCCGTCCAGGAAGGCTTCCGAACAGGCGGGGGCGCCAGGCTGGTGCATCGAGCCCGAACTCGCGTGGAAGCAGCGAGCATTGGGGCCGCAGTTGCGGCTCATGGAGGATGTTCTCCACGCGCACCACGTGGCCCTGAGAACAGAAATCGCGAAACGCCTTGACAACAACGCCTCGGCGGTGGTTCAGTTTCTGACCAACGTCAACATCCAGTGCCACAGCGCCATGGCCGTCGTGGTCAAGGGGGCCAACCCCTCGACGGCGAAGGCCAGCGAGGCGCTCTTGCAGGGGCGCAGGGCGGCGTGCACGAACGCCCCGCCGACGGAAAAAACTGCCGAGCTCACGGCGACCTTCCAGGCGCAGGAGGACTGGGATTGGTTGGACTTTGCAACGCTGCCGCCCGAAGAAAAGACAACCGCAACGTCGGCTCAGGAAAAGGGAGGCGGGCCCGCCGCGCAGCCCGTGGCGATCGCGCCCAGAGCGATCACTGGGCGCCCCGAGAACGAACAGGCCACCGTTGAGGAGGGAGAGAGGCCAGCAACGTGGTTGCCACTGCCAGTCACGGAGTGGTTGGGCCAGGCAGCCGCCAGGGACATGGGCAAGAAGGAGGCCTACATAGGAGCGGTGCTGCAGGTGCTACGAGAGAAGCACTTGGCGCTCTGTTCGCGCGTTGAACAGGGCGCAGAATCGAACCTACCTGTGGCCCTGAGCCGCCGCGCAACGAGCAACAAAGTGAAAGCGTGCACAAAAGCCGCAGTGGCGGCTGGCAAACTCGCGTCGTGGCCACGCGCGCCGAAGCAGAACAAAGCGTGGGATGCGATCGGCCACAAAGACAAAGTTCACGTAGATGTGTGGGCCAAGAACCCAGAAGAGCCTGCGAAGACTTCGTTCTACATGCATCCGGAGTTTGCCGCGCCCGAAAGCAAGACGTCCTACGATGTGGATGAGACGGGCCCCGCTCAACGATAGTGGAAGTGGGCGGGCAAGGAGCCCGCGCGCCCCTTCTGGAGCGTGACGAAGCTCACGGCCGAAGAGCTTGGAACGCGAAACGCTGCTGAAGCAGAGGCGGGGCGAGCGCGTTTTGAGGTGGAGTTCGCACCAAAGGAAGTGAGCATAGTCATCTGCGGGCGGGTCATCTGCATCCGAATCCCAGTGGCGACCAACGCGGTGGATCTCCAGGCGGGCGAGGAACTGATCATGGAAGACACACATGTGAAGAGGAAGAAGGAAGCGGCCCCGACCGACTGGAGGAAAACCGCGAAGAAGGCCAGAGCGAAGCCGAAGAGCCAGCCGCAGCAGCACAAAACCGCTTTCGACGAAAAAGGCCACCAGGACATCTGAAGCGGAGGACGCAGTGGCGCCCATGCTCCGATGGACGCAGCGGCGACCATGCATCGCAGTTGCGCCCGTGCCCCGACGCGGACGGGGGCGCAGGCGCGGCGGCGAGAACAATGGGGAGCGCAGGCGTGCTGAAGTGGGGGGGGCGCCCTCTCTTCCCTCTCCCCCCCCTCCTCCACCCCCCCTCCAGCCCCCCTGCAACCCCTGCAGCAGGGGGCGCAGAACCTGGGGCCGGGGGGCCCCCCGAGGAGGGTTGGCGCCGAGGGGGGCCGCCAGAGGCTTCGAGGGCGCTGGAGGGAGGATGCGGATTAGAGGGGGAAGAGAGGAGGAGGGGGGGGGAGGGGGGAGGGAGGAGAGAGGAAAGAGGAGAAAGGAAAGAGGAGGGAGGAGGGAGGAGGAGGAAGAGGGGCGCGGGCTGGAGGAGGAGAAGGGGGGATGTCGGACGAGCAGCGCGGGGACGCGGTCGGAGGGAGGGGTGACGGGCAGCGCCGTGTGGCAGGATGGGGAGCTGGGGGGCAATGCTGCGCGGTGCAACCGCAGCGTATAGGTTCCAGCGCAGACGCTCGTTTCCCTTCGGCTCCGCTTGCGCGGCGGGCGACGCAGCGGCGTTCATGGTGAAGGCGAAGACCCCGCGTGCTGCCCCCCAGTGGGGGCCCGCGCAGCTGGGCGAGCGATTATCTGTCTGGGGCGGTCGGTTGACAGAGCCGCGCGCGCTCTTGGGGGCCAAGGAGATCTCTACCATCGCAGGGCGCCTGAAGTTCGTCCACTTCTCTCTGGGCCTGCCGTGGGCAGTCCATGCGCTCGGCTACGCGCTCAGGAGTTCAAGCGGGGGTTCGTGTGTGCAGGGGCGCGCGTGGAAGGAGATCGTGGGCGCGTTCTTGGCCCGAGCGCGGGCCGAGGACGCCGCAGTGGCGGCTGGCGGGGACGGCAAGGGAGAGGACGCCGTGGACGCCATGGGCGCCCTGCTCGACCTGCCCGATGCCGCAGCGGCAGATGCCGCAGCGGCAGCGAAAAAGAAACAAAAGGTGCCGGGGCGAATCGTTGTTTGTTCCGCGCGTGAGAAGTGCCCGCTCGAGTTCCCCGATGCGACGGACGAGAGGGAGGTGTGCCTGATCTCGTTCAAGAAGAACGAGTACTGGATCCGCGAGACGGACGTGCCCTGGCTCTTCGAGCGGCTCAGGTCCGAGTGCGATCTGGCGGGGGCCCCGCTGGTTCAGAACCCAGACGAAGACTACGCCGCTGCGGCGGCTGCCGCTAGCGGGGCGGACTCGCAAGATAGCCTGCCCTCTGGAGAGAGCGCGGGCTCACAGACACCGACAAAAGCCGCCAGTCCACCAGTTCCTGTGGACCAGGCGGTCAGTGCCCAGGACGCCGTGCACGCTGGCTACACGCGCCGATGGCTGTTCCCCACCAAGGAATGCAAAAGCGCGTGAGAAAGAACGGTCGCGCGCGCAAGCGACTTGCGCGGGAAGGTTGTCGCGTGCCAGCTGGCCGCTTTCACCCGCGCGAAGTGGCTGCAAGTCTACGGCGGCGACGAGCCTCCCTGCGCGCGGTACGGGGCCAGTCGTCCGCAGAAGAAGGGGGCCTGCAGGCTCTACCTGGAAGCGCACATGGCCGCGTTGATGCAGCAACTTCCTGCGGCCTAAAGCCGCAGTGGCGGCTCCGTTCGGTACCTCACCACTGTCCTGCGGTGGGGGCCGCGCTCGCCTTGGGGCCCCCATGGGCGAGTGGGCGGCGGCGCAGGCGCCAATGCCAGCGGGGTTCATTCACAAAGTGATACCTTGACGGTCCGTGAGGAAAACGCAGCCCCTGCGCCCGCCCCCCCCCCCCCCCCTTGCCTCTCGTTTGCTTCTCCGCCTGCTCCTCTGCAGCCAGTGGTCTTACCCCCCATTGCCCTCCGCAGTGCGCCTCTTCCTCCTCGTTCGTCCGCAACGCCCTTTTTCGCATCAAAGGGCTGCTCCAAGGGGCGGCGGTGCCCGCGCGCAGGGGGCCTGCGCGAACGATGCCTGCCAAACGCCCGCCAGATGGCACATGCGGGTGCACGCGCCGCAGCCTAGGTGCACGATTGCATGGCGTGGACGTGTTCACGGGAGAGAAGTTCGAGCGCGAGTGGGCGAAGAACCCCGAGACGCAATCTTTTCCGCGTATGACGCAGTACGGCAAGACAGGGGTGGTAAACATCTGTCGCCGCAGTGGCGGCGCCGAGGTGCCTGTGGGCTTGTTGAAGGTGCACTGCTGCTTGCGCGAACCACGCCAGGCAGACTGGCCAGCGACCCAGTCTGGCCCCCCCCCCTCCCGCCACGCACCTCCGACCGACAGATTGGCGCCCGCCAAGGGCAGCTGCCCCTGAGCAAGAGGCGCAGCCAGCGCCAGCTGCCGCCGAGCTTGGGCCAGCTGGGCCAGCAGCGCCGAAGCCAGGGACGGCGGCTCCGCCTCTGCCACCCCCAAACGAAGCACCCCCGCCAGAGCTACAGCCAGGGGGGGGCACCCCCGCCACGCGCAGACGAGGTAGCGCCAGCGCCAGCGCCGCCAACGCCAGATGAGCCAGCGCCAGGGCCGCCAACGCCAGAGCCAAAGCCCGAGGAGCCAAAGCCTGAGGAGGCAGAGCCAGGGGTGGTAGAGGGGGCAGAGGAGGCAGAGGAGGCAGAGGAAGTAGAGGAGGCCGAGCAGGCAGAGGAGGCATAACCAGAGCCCCAGGAGGCCAAAGAGGCAGAGGAAGCGGAGTCTGAGGGAATCCGCAGCCCCCCGCCCACGCCGCCAGCCACAGGGGCTCCAGCTGTACAGTTGGCTGCAGTGGCGAGCTCCCTGCGCCCGCCGCCCGCGGAGCCCGCGCCCGCCCCTCTGCGACGTCGAGCTGCGGCCCCTCCCTTGGCCAAGGGACAGGGTGGGCTCTTCGAATACGGCTTTCAGTGCAACGATCCCCCCCCAGCTGGCTTCGGCCTTGGGTCGAGCGAGCCCGCCGCCGCGGAGGTGGTGGGCGCGGGCGCGGAGGTGGTGGGAATCGGGCCCCAACCGAGGGCGCCGACAGGGCGCCGACGGGGCACCACTCAGGGCCGCAGTGGCGGCCTCGACAGGGCACCGCTCAGCGCCGCATTGGCTGCCGGTGTGCCGCTCAAAGTGCTGGGTCTGGCTCGGGGGATCCTCGCGAGCGGCGAGTGCGCCGGGCACTCCGCCTTCGTGCTCTTTGGCCTGCGCTACAACGCTCGCCAACTGATGTGGGAGGGGGGGAACCTCATAGACCTCCTCGCCGTCTACGCCCCCTGGGCGCTGGAGACCTGTTGCACGCCCTGCGCCGTGGAGGGCGTGGCGCGCGTCCTCCGACCAGGCGCGACGTGGTTCGCAATTGCGGACCTTCTGCCCGTGGGCGATCTGAAGGACGCTATGGACCAGCCAGTCAATTGCCTCCAGAACGTCAATCACTGGGCGGCGGCCGTGATCAGCGGTGGGGGTCACGAGGGCGCAGAGGCGGCCGACGAGATGAAAAAGTTCTACCACAATCGGGCGCGCTTCGTACTCGGAACTGTCTGCGACGGCGACTGCGGCATTGACGTCGTGGCGCAGATGCTGGAGCTGCCCCAGAACGCGGAAACCCGTACCCGCATCCCCAGGGAGCTCTACGAGCACGTCATGAGTCGGTACAAGGAGCCCTGGCTGCACGACATGTTGGTGCTCACCCAGGAGCTCACAGCAGAGCAGGTGCAGAAGTTTCGGGAGTCCGAAGGCGACCACGACGACCTTTGCTTCGAAGATCCTGGTGGCGGAGGGTCACGGGCAGGAGGAGCAGGCGGGGCAGGAGAGGGGGGCGTTTCTCAGACCGCAGTGGCGGTCACCCACCCGCCTGCACACGAGAAGGCCCCTGGCATTTTGGAGGCGCTGCAGTGGTCCTGCGGGGTCAGCGACGTCGGCGTGGTGATGCCCATCGCCGGCAGACTGACCATCCCCGTGCAGGAAGAACAGGCGGCCGCGCACAAGGAGAGCCAACTGGCCCCCAAGAAGCCCGAGCACGGCGCACGAGTGAGGCGGCGCATCAACCCGCACATTATCCGGGACAGCGACATAGTGTGCAAGGCGCACACGCAGCACCTGCAGGAGAGCGGGCGGGACGGCAAGGGCAAATCTTCATATCGCTCCAGGAAGACGTTCTTGGCCAAATTTGAATGGCCCAGGGGGTGGAAGTATACCAAACAGCCGTGCACCTTGCCTAACTGGTATACAAACTGGAAGAAGCGATCCGACGGCGGAGATGAAGCTGCCAAAGGTAAAGACTCCAGGAGACGCCGCAGTGGCGGCGGAGGGGCGCCCCAGAAGTGCCCCTGGTTGTCGAGCGCCCTCTACGAGTGGTGGTCCCACATGCGCTACGCCGTGGACTGGAAGCGCGCCACTGCTGGAGTTCCACAGGGGCAACGACAGAGGAATATCGCCAGGTGCACGCAGGCTCCCTCGTCTCTTCGTCCACCTCCCCGTCCTCCTCCTTCTCCTCCTCTGATTCCTCTGTGTCCTCCAAGTCCAGTTGTTCTCCTTCCCCCCCCGCAGGCCCTGCTGGTCACCAAAGCCAAGGACCTGCTCACGACGTACTGCTCGGAGGCACTGGTGCGGGGGAGGCCTGCGGCGCCGCAGTTGCGGCCCAAGTGGTTCAAGAGGTGGCGGGGGGACTACGGGCTGAGCTTGCGCAAGCCCAATCGCAAGTACAAAGTCTCGAAGCGGCTGCTCGCCTCGCGCTTCGAGACCATGATACTGAACGTCGCGAGGGTGAGGGCCGCGGCAGAGGAACTGCTCGGGCACGACCCGCGCATCCTCAACTGGGGCCAGAGCCCGTTCCACCACAACGAGTCGGGGACGGCGCCCACGAAGACCCTGGCCGTCAAGGGGCCCATCGTTCCGCGGATCGAGGGACACGACGACAGCAAGGCCAGGTGGACCGCAAACCTGTGCGTCTCCGCGGACGCGCAGGACTTGCAAGAGAACGCGCCGCCCCCAGCAGAGTTCATGTTCAGGGGGGGGGG